GTTATATGTATACTGATAATAAGAGTCTGAAGTATCTGCTTACTCAGAAATAATTAAATTTGAGACAGCGTCGCTGGTTGGAGCTTCTAAAGGACTGATTTAGAGATAGAATATCATCCAGGGAAAGCTAATGTAGTGGCAGACGCCTTGAGCCGTAAGACGATATTAGATCTCAGAGCATTATTCGCCAACTTGAGTTTATTTGATGATAATATTCTGTTAGCACAGTTGCAGGTTAAACCTACTTTGGCCGAGGAGATTAAGACCAAACAACTTCTGGATAGCTCATTGCTTCCCATTATTGAGCAAGTTAAGCAAAGATCGAGTTCAGAGTATACTGTGGATCAGGATGGTATTTTGTGTTTTCACGGTCGTTACTGCGTTCCTAAAGATGATGAGTTGAGACGAGTTATTCTTTAGGAGGCTCATAGTAGTCCTTATATTATGCATCCTGGAGGGGACAAAATGTATAATAATCTCAAAGAGCGCTACTTCTGGACTGGTATGAAAAAGAATATTTCAGATTTTGTGGCGAGGTGTTTGACTTGTCAGCAGGTTAAGGCAGAACACCAGCATCTATCTGGATTGTTACAGTAAGATTCCTGAGTGGAAATGGGAGCGCATTATGATAGACTTTGTTACTGGTCTTCCTCTGACTCCTTCTAAAAAGGATTCCATTTGGGTGATTGTTGATCGACTCACCAAGTCAGCGCACTTTATCCCTATCCGGATTAATTATTCTCTGGACAAACTGGCTAAGTTGTACATTTCTGAGATCGTTAGAATTCATGGTGTTCCGTTGTCTATCATATCTGATAGAGATCTGAGGTTCACTTCCAAGTTCTGGAAAGCTTTGCACGACGCTCTGGGTACTCGTTTGAATTTCAGTACAACTTTTCATCCTCAGACTGATGGACAATCTGAACGAGTTATACAAGTGATGGAGGATATGTTACGGGGTTGTGTGATTGATTTCCGTGGTAGTTGGGAAGATTTCTTGCCGTTAGCTGAGTTTACTTATAATAATAGTTACCATGCAAGTATTCACATGGCACAGTACGAGGCTCTGTATGGATGTAGATGTCGTACTCCTATATGTTGGACAGAGTTGCATGATAGAAAAACTTTGGGTCCAGACTTGATTCGAGAGACTGAAGATACTGTCAGATTGATCTGTGATCGCTTAAAAGATGCATTAGATAGGCAGAAATCATACGCAAATAAGTGACGTAAGGATATCGAGTTTGAGGTTGGAGATCAGGTTTTTCTCAAGGTATCCCCATGGAAGAAGGTATTGAGATTTGGACATAAGGGTAAACTGAGTCTACGATTTATTGGGACGTATTGTATTTTGAAGAAAGTTGGACCTGTTGCTTATCAGCTTGAGTTGCCTCCCCAGCTCAATCGTATTCATGATGTTTTTCATGTGTATGTTGAGTCGATACCGTCTAGATCCGGAACACATAATTCAGGTTGACGAGGTAGAGCTGAGACCTAATTTGTCATATGAGGAGGAGCATGTTCATGTTTTAGAGATGAATGAGCGAGTTCTTTGGAATAGGCGTATTCCAATGGTCAAAGTTCAGTGGAGTAATCGTAGCCCCTCAGAAGCTACTTGGGAGACATTGGAGTCAATGAAGGCTCAATTTCCTCGTCTATTTTCATAAGGTAAATTTCGAGGATAAAATTTCTTGTAAAGGGGAAGAATTGTAACAACCCAGAAAATTTGAAGAAAAAAAATGAAATTAAACAATTTGGTAAAAATTGGGGACTGAATTAAAAGTTCTCAAAACTTGTAGCATGTTTTAAAGTTTAAGGAAATTTAGGGACTAAACCCTGAATTTACCCAAAAAAGTGTAGGCAGACACTCTAATAAATGGGAATCAGATATGCAAGGAGTTATCATAAGAGAAAAAAAAATTTCTAAGATTTTCTTCACTCTCGCACCCTAACTTCCAACCACTATTCCGATGTCATCCGACCTCCGATCATCGTTTTACAACCACCATCGTGTTCATCATCGAGCGAGGAACAAACCTCTTAAATTAATTGAAGTGAAACGCTGCCAAACGCCGTGAATTTCAAGTCAAAGCCTCGACGTTTTTTTAGCTCCATCGCTGAGAAAATCTTAAATTCATCGTCGATCGTTGCTCCGTTTTCGACACTTCCCGCACCATCGTGTTCCTTGTGCCGTTTCGAGTCCGCCGGTGTCATCCTTGGTCTCCGTCAAAGTTTACGATTTGTTGAAATCGAGCTCTCCACCGTTCAAAATTGTGAACCGAGCTTTGTAAGTGCCTCAAAATCGCTTAAAATAATTTTTATGAATTTTTTCGTAATTATTCCGACGCCGGAAAATGGCCCACGCACCGCCACTACCCGTGGGGAAGGTTAAAATGATCGGTTTGACCGGTTTTTAAACTGTTTGCCTGGTTTTGACCCGACCCGACCCGTTGACCCGACTCGACCGTTAACCCGACCCGATGAACGTTGACCCGGTGGTATTTTGGTAATTATTTTGAAAATGGTGGTATTCTGGTAATTATCTTGAAAAAGGTGTTATTTTCGTAATTATTTTTAAATTGTGCTATTTTAGTAATTATTTCTAAAAGGATGCTATTTTCGTAATTATTTTTAAAAGGTACTACTTTAGTAATTATTTCTAAAAGGTGTTATTTTTGTAATTATTTTTAAAAGGGTGTTATTTTCGTAAAATGGTTGATCATCTATTGACATCCTTTGACTAGAACTTTGACCGGTCGTTAAATTTATTTTTCTCAAATATACCTATTTTAACATTTATCAACGTCTCGAATCTGTTTTTGGGGTCCGTTTCACCAAATTCGAACTCGAAACTCTCCAAATCGTCAGTCAAACCCGTTGACTTTGAATTTGTCCAAGGATTTAAATATCCGGAAGGTCATACTTTATGTTTTTCGACGTCCTGAATCTGATTCCGAAGTCCGTTTTGCCAAATTCTGACCCGAAATTCCCGAATCGAGCTTATGAATCCAAAAGGCTTAGTATTTTAGCATTTTTTTATTATTTATTTGAGATTTGGTTAAGGAATTGATTGAGTCTAACTTATAGACCGGGTCTGGGGGGTTACATTTTAGGACAGAGTTGAAATATTCTCTACCATTGTCAGTTCGGAGTGTATGTATGGTATAATTAAATTGGGTTCGAACCATTGAGTGAAAGTTTTGGAAGATTTTGGGTGTTTCAGATTTTTCTTTGATGAGGCATACCCAGCAAACCCTAGTGTGGTCATCAATGAAAGTTATAAACCATCTAGCCCCCATAATTTTTTGTACACGGCTGGCTCCCCACATATCACTATATATTAACGAGAAAGGTTGAGACTGAACATAAGGCTTTAACGGGTATGGTACACGGGTGTGTTTGGATAATTGGCAAATTTCACATTTCAAGGAGCTCACACTTTTATTGCGAAATAACAAAGGAAGATGTTTCTTCAAATACAAGAAGCTTGGATGTCATAGTCTACGATGACATAACATAATTATGTCCTCTTTTGAAGTAGATAGAGTCAATCCTTCTTGTGTACTGTCTTTATTCCAAACATAGAGTTCATCATCAACTTTAGCAGTGCCAATCATCATCACCGATTTTTGTTCTTGTACCACAACCAATTGTAGAAAATTCAACAAAAACATTTTCATCCTTGGTAAGTTTACTGATTGAAAGTAAATTATAGGACAATTTTGGAACATGTAGGACTTTATCAAGGGAGAAGTTTTATGCTAATTTTACTCTTCCAATTCCAGCCACCAGTGAGTAGGATCCATCAGCTATGCGGATTCGGGATTGGTCATGACAAGGTGTATAAGTGTGAAACAAAGTGGGGTTACCTGTCCTGTGATCGGAAGTTGAGTATCCAGGAGGATTTGTCAGGTTCAAGGACAATGATGAGGGTAGTACCTTGGGTGGCTAGAGAACCACTAGCCGTAGAAGTACCAAGCAACTTATAGAGTGTCTCAAGTTGGGTTTTGGTTAGGCGAACGTCGAGAACATCATCTGCAACAGTGGAGGTATTAGTGGACAGCATTGTAGTCTTATTCTCCTTCTAGTTTTTTCCAGGATAGCCATGGAGTTTGAAACATTTTTCTTTGGTATATCCTACACGGCTGCAGTAGTTACACCATGGCCTGGTTGAGATCGAATCATTTTCAGCACGGGACCTTTATGGTTATGAACCTCTAGAGATAAGGGTTGAGTTTTCAGTTGGACGATAACTAGCAGTTGTCACAGGTTTAGGTTCCTTTGAATCACCCATCATGACAAGTTGACGTTTTTCTTCTCTTTTAACTTCTGCAAATGCTTCACCAATGGTTGGCAGGGGGTTTTACCCAGAATTTGGCCACGGACCTCATCTAACTCTCGGTTCAATCCTGCTAGAAACTCATAGAGACATTCATTGTTGACGTGATTCATAAACTTGGTGTGCTCCATGCCTTTTCCCCAGTCTGCCTCATAGTACATGTCCAATTCATGCTATAAAATTTTCAGATTATCGTAGTAGTGAGTTACTTCAAGTGTTCCTTGTTGGATGTCCTTCAACTTCAGTTTGATCTCAAATACTTGGGAAGCATTTCCAAGATCCGAGTAGTTTTCTTTGATTGCATCCCACATATCTTTTGCAGTTTTGAAGAAGAGGTAGGTGCGATTAATATGGCTTTCCATTGAATTAATTAACCAAGCCATTACAATTGAGTTGTTGAGTTCCCAAGTGCCATAAGTTGGGTCTATTATGGCTAGTCGTGGGATGTCTCCATTGATATATCATAGTTTGTCACGACCACGAATCACCATAATGACCGATTGGGACCACTGTAGGAAATTTTTCCCATCTAGTCGATGATTAGTGATCATAAGAGAGGAAGGCCCCCTTGAGGGGTTCCTTGATTGATATTTGGAATCATTTGTGAGGTTTCAGTCTCGGATGAAGTTTCGACTGTGTCACCCATGGGAAGGAATAACACATGAGGCAAGAGAGATTAAAGAGGAGGGACGTTTGGGACGAGAGATTAGAGATGACATGATAAAAAAACCTTAAAGCTTTGATGCCATGAACAAAATTAAAATAAAGGTTGTTATCATTTACTAAATAGTTTACAGCCTTTATAGATTAGTCTAAGTGTAAATAAGGGAACAATCCCTAAAAATTAGAGACTAAGATTAGATCCTACTGTACAAGGAAACTCTAGGAATAAGGTAAGTAATCTATCCTTAATTTTAGGAATTCTGACACTTTGTTTTTTCTGATTTTGTCTCTTTGCAGGATACTGAACAAGCTCACTCCAGAGAAGTATGATCTTCTAAAAGGACAACTTATTGACTCCAGTATCACATTAGCGGATATCTTGAAGGTCATTCTTTATTCATGTCTTTTAATATGACCAGATATTTTTCTCTAGTTATTTTTATGTATGCTTACATGTATATATCCATACACATACACATACATTTCATGTATATTGTGTTCTTTTATATTACTGCAGGTTGTAGGAAGAAATCATTGATGGTATTATTCTGTCTTTACAGGGGGTTATTTCGCTAATATTTGAGAAGGCTATGCTGGAACCCACTTTCTGTCCTATGTATGCACTCCTATGTTCTGATCTGAATAATATGCTTCCCTCATTTTCTTCCGATGAACCTAGCGGAAAAGATATCACGTTTAAGCGAGTCCTCCTGAATAACTGCCATGAGGCATTTGATGAAGCTTATAAGCTCAGGGAAGAAGTGCGGCTTATGACTGCCCCTGAGCAAGAGATGTAGCATAGGGATAAAGAAAGGATGGTCAAGCTCCGCACTCTAGGAAATATTCATTTAATTGGTGAGCTTCTGAAGCAAAAAATGGTGTCTGAGAAGATAGTCCATCACATTGTGCAGGTTATTACCGATACTTCTTTCTCATCGATGGATCAAGGAATTTTAGCCAGTTACACTGTACATATTTCTTTCCTTTGTGCCAAATAGGAACTTTTGGGCCCTGACAATAGAGCATGTCCTGTAGAGGAGAATGTTGAGGCTATTTGTCAGTTCTTCAACACTATTGGTAAGCGGCGTGATGGTAAGCAGCTTGATGAGAGCCCCAAATCACGCCGCATAAATGATACGTACTTCAACAGATTGAAGGATTTGACAACAAATCCTCAGCTTGCTCTAAGATTGAGATTTATGGTTCGTAATGTTCTAGATATTCGAGCAAATAAATGGGTTCCCAGACGAGAGGAGGTAACTCATAAATTCAATCATATTTTCTTGGGTAGATTAGATAGATGATGTTGACATCTCCAAGTCAATGGCTTTAATATTGACAACTCTGTTTTTTGGTATGGATTGCTGGAGGTGAAAGCCAAAACAATTAATGAAATCCATTCTGAGGCTAAAATGAATCTTGGTCTGCGTCCAGGTGCTACTGCAAGTATTAGAAATTGTCGCGTTGTTTCTACTGGTTCTACAAGTCCTGGTCCTGGTTTTCCTATCACATGCCCTGGTGCTGGAGGTCTGATGCCCGGAAAGCCAGGAACTCGTAGAATGCTTGGGATGCCTGGAATGAACAATGATAATTGGGAAGTTCCTAGGAACCGGTCAATGCCAAGGGGTGATGCACAGGGTACACTTCCTGGAGGGCATGGTCCATCGCCATCAATCCATAAAGCTTCAATGAACCCAAGATTGTTGCCTCAAGGAAGTGGTAGGACAAGCGCCCTATTGCAGGGTAGTTCAACCTTTCCTGCTATGCAATCCAACACTACTTGTGGTGCTGAGTCTATTGCACAACCTTCTCTTTCTATCAAACATGTGCCCCTGGCTGCTGTTGCGTCCCTAGTTGAGGAGAAACCTCTAGCTCCACATGAAAACCTAAATCCAAATGATCTTCAGAGAAAGACGAAAGCGCTGCTGGATGAATATTTCAATGTCAGGCTGCTGGATGAAATTGTTATGGAATTCGGGTTAATTTCCACCAATAATAACAAATTTGAAAACTATTATCTAGGTGACTAGTGTGAAAACGATTATACTAAAAATCACCCCAAGGTAGATTCTCAGGAAAGAGGAGGGGTCACAATGGTCCCTCTTAAAACCCACTTTCTTTAGACAGAACTACCAAGACAAGTAATTTTAATAAGACAATAATTAACAACAACTATACCCGACAATAGCTATTAAATATATATAAAAGAGAACACCAAAATTTAACGAGGTTATGCCAAAATTATACCTACCTCCTCGAACACTACTAAAACTAATAGAGGAAATATTACAAAGAGGGAGAAAGAGTACAAATAACCTTTAATATAGAAGAAGACTTATATTTGTGGGATGTTTAACTAAGGAGGAGGATAGCTTTATTTATAATAAAAGAATTTCCCCTCCTCCTTATACACAACCAATGTGGGACTTTGCCAAAAAACCAACGAATCTCCACCTTGGCAAATTCCACACACATCTCTCAAAAATTCAATCTTCAGAGTGTCTGTAAATTCATCTTTCAATTTGTAACAATATTGACCAAGTCTAAACAATGTTTAAACTTGACCGCAGTTACCACTTTTGTCAACATATCAGCAGGATTCTCAGTCGTCCGAATCTTCTGGATTATGACTCCACCTTCTTCTAGAATTTATCGTACAAAGTGATATCGAACATCTATGTGTTTCATCCTTGTTTGGTAAACCTGGTTCTTTGCTAAATAAATAGCAATCTGACTGTCACAATGCACTTTGATGTGCTTATGTTCCATTCCCAATTCACCAAGCAACCCTTGAAGCCAAATTGCCTCCTTCACAGCCTCTGTAACTGCCATATACTCTGCCTCTGTAGTAGACAAAGCCATTGTTGATTGTAAGGAGGACTTCCAACTGACTGGTGCCTTTGCAAATGTAAACATATAACCAATAGTTGATCGACGCTTGTCCAAATCACCTGCATAGTCTGAATCACAATACCCAACTACACACTGACCATCTTGTTTGTCCTGCTGAAAGATCAAACCAACATCTACGATGTTCAGAATATACCGCAGAATCCATTTCACAGCTTGCCAATGGTCCTTTCCAGGATCATGCATATACCTGCTCACAACCCCAACTGCCTATGAAATATCGGGTCTTGTACACACCATTGCATACATCAAGCTACCAACAACACTTGCATATAGAACATTTGACATGTATTCTCGTTCTGCATCATCCTTAGGTGACATGGATGCACCGAGCTTGAAATGAGGAGCAAGAGATGTATTAACTGGTTTTGACTTCTCATTCATGCCAAAACGTTTTAGTACCTTCCTCAGATATTCTTTCTGAGACAAACCAAGCCTCCCCAATTTCTTATCCCTTGATATCTTCATTCCTAGAATCTTCTTTGCTTCACCAAGATCCTTCATCTCAAACTCCTTGTTCAATTGAGTCTTTAGTTTCACAATTTTTGTCTGACTCTTGGAAGCTATCAGCATATCATCAACATAAAGAAGAAGATATATATATGATCCGTCTTGTAGCTTACGTAAATAAACACAATGATCATATTTGCTTCTTGTGTACTTATGCCCTATCATAAACTTGTCAAATCGCTTGTGCCACTGCCTTAGAGATTGCTTCAATCCGTACAACGATTTTTCTAATTTGCACACCATCTTTTCTTTTTCAGCAATTTTGAATTAATCTGGCTGAGTCATGTAGATTTCCTCATCCAAGTCTCCATGTAAAAATGCAGTTTTTACATCCATCTGAACTAGTTCCAAATCCAACTGTGCTACCAAAGCCAACAAAATTATGATGGAGGAATGTTTTACAACTGGAGAAAATACTTCATTATAATCAACTCCATCAGTTTGAGCGTAGCCTTTAGCCACCAATCTTGCTTTGTAGCGGATGTTATTCTTGTCAGAAAATCCATCTTTCTTTGCATATACCCACTTGTACCCAATTGCCTTCTTTCCCTTCGGAAGACTAGCTAGTTTCCACGTCTAATTCTTTTGAAGGGATTGAATTTCTTCATTCATGGCGATCCTCCACTTTTTGTGTTCTGAACTTTGGACTGTTTCATTAAAAGTGGCAGGAACGTCATCAATTGTAATTGGTGATGCAAAAGAGACCATATCAGCATAACGAGCAGGTTGTCTAATGGTTCTCTTTCCCTTTCTGAGTGCAATTGATTCATGTTGCTATAGAGGTTCTTGGGTCTGAACCTCTTCTTCATCTGACTCTTCTTCTACCATAGGAGAGTCAACATCAGTTTCTTTACTGGCTGGGTCAATTCTGATTCCTTCAAACTCCACTTGTTTGGGAGTTCCATCTGTCTGGTCCAATTTTTTTGAAGTCACCTTTCTCTACATGGTAGATTCATCAAAGGTAACATCCCTGCTGAAGATTATTTTCTTTATTTCTGGACACCAAAGACGATAGCCTTTCACACCAGAGGTGATCCCTATAAAGATCGCCTTCTTTGCTCTTGGATCCAACTTTGACTCCTTAACATGGTAGTATGCAGCGGGACCAAACACATGTAAGGAATCATAATCTGTAACAGGTTCTCCAAACCATTTCTCTAATGGTGTTTTACCACCAATAGCAGTCGATGATAAGCGGTAGACAAGGTGACAAGCATAGACCAAAGCCTCAGCCCAAAATTCTTTGCCTAACCCAGCATTAGACAATATACACCGAACCTTCTCCACTAATGTCTGGTTCATACGCTCTGCCATCCCATTCTGTTGTGGTATAGATCTGACAGTGAAATGCCTGACAATACCTTCTTCTTCACAGACTTTTAGAAATAGATCATTTTTGTACTCTCCACCATTGTCTGTACAAAGACGTTTGATTTTTCTGCCTGTTTGAGTCTCCACCATCTTTTTCCATTTAAGGAAAAATCCTAGTACCTCATCCTTTGTCTTCATTGTATACACCCAAACTCTCTGGGAAAAATCATCAACAAAGGTGACTTAATAGTGTGTTCCTCCCAATGAAGTTGTCTTGGAAGGCCCCTATACATCTGAATGAACATAATCCAAAATACCTTTAGTATCATGGATTATTGTTCCAAATTTCACCTTTGTCTTCTTCCCTTTGATGCAATGCTCACAAAAAGCTAATTTGCAAGCCCAAACACCCTTCAATAATCCTTGATCTATCAGCAATTTCAAGGATTTTTCACCAACATGCCCCAAGCGCATATGCCATAACCTGGTTGCTTCTGACTCCTGTTTATTAGTAGAAGCTGCCACTTCTATTGTCCCAACAATTGTACTACCCAGAAAGTAATACACATTGTTTCTTTTCCGGATTCCCTTCATTATCACCAGTGCACCAGAGATAATCCTCATAATCCCATCTTTTTCCCTCACTTCTAAACCTCTTGACTCTAAGGTTCCCACAGAGATGAGATTTCTCATTAAATCTGGTACATAATGGACACATGTTAAGGTTCTGATTGATCCATCCTGATTCCTCAAGCGAAATGAACCAATCCCAAGTGTGTCAAGAGGGGAATTATTTGCTGTGTAGCAATTCCACCTTTTAGTTCTTTAAAATCAAAGAACCATTCTGTATTGGGGGTCATATGGTGGCTATATGCTGAATCTAACAACCATGAACTGGAATAGTTGGTTGATGGCGTAGCAACGAATGCAAAATCTAAATTTGTATCATCATACTCGACCACATTTGATTCTGAGACAGTCTTTCCCCTTTTAGGTTTTCCTTTATTCTTTAGCTTGGGACATTCTTTCTTTCAGTGCCCTTTTTCTCAACAAAAGGCACATTCATCTTTGCTCAATCTGGACTTTGACTTCGATCTCCCTATCCTTCCTTTATTCTGACTATTCGAACGACCTCTAACAACAAGAGTTTCTGCTTCGACACTTGTATTTTCTTGTTTGTCTTTCTTTCTCAATTCATAACTATACAAGACATCAGTTACTTCACTGAGAGAAACATCAACCTTCCCATGAAATAGAGTAATTTCAAGATACTCAAACTCATCAGGAAGTGATCCCATCAACATCGGAGCCAGATCTTCGTCTTCAAAAGTCACGTCCATATTCATCAGATCAGTCACCAGCTGATTAAAGCTAGTAATGTGATCATTCATAGTGGTACCTGGTACATAGTTGAAGCGGAACAATCTCTTTTTCATGTAGAGCTTGTTCTAACCGCTTTTCTTCAAAATTTCTCCTCCAGTGCCTTCCACAATTTACTTGCAGAAGTTTCCTTAGAAAATGCATACTTTTGCTCTCTAGAAAGACACGATCGAATAGTACCACATGTCAATATATTGATCCTCTTCCATTCTTTCTCCTCAACATCATTTGGTTTCTCTCCTTCAATAGTAATGTCTAGACCTTACTGAAATAGGGCATCTAGAACCTCACTTTGCCACATGCCGAAATGATCGGTGCCATCAAAAATCTCCACTGTAAATCTAACATTTGTCACAGCATTTCTTGCGGATGTGTTGAGTTAATCGATTGACGGAATCGGCCAAGAGGGGGTGAATTGCCAATTAAAAATTTGGTGGAAGCTTTTGCAGAAAATTGAAAGTAATTGCACAGCGATTTAGAATTGTTCGACTTTCTCAACCAAAGTCTACGTCCACTACCTTAGCTATCCACACTAAGGATTTTCTAACAAATTCACTAATTTGTTCTTTCTTTTGAGGACAAAGAGTAATCTTACAACTCCCTCAAGAATTATACCCCAAATTCTTGAGCACACTCTTTTTCAAAGAGAAATACACAAATTTGCAAACTTACAAGGAAAACCTCACAAGGTAAGATGTTTGCACAATTCTAGAACAAGAAAAGAACATTAAAAAATAATTACAAATGAGCACAAATAGTGTTCTTGAAAGCAAAATGAATATTGAAAGGAAAATTGGCTTGATTTGCACAAACTTGGTGTTTGATGCTTTCTCTCTTGTTTCTCTATATT